CTTAAAGAATTCCTGATAAAAATAAAGATTAATTTGGTCATGGCTTCAAATTCAGCTTAGTACAGGACTACAGACAAAGTAAAATGTGATATATTTTACTTGTCTGACTCAATAAAATTGATAGTAGCTCCCTTTCATACTGGGACATTATTGACATATAGAGGATTATATCATGTGACATATTGGGGAGAAATTAACATATGGGAAGATTTTATTACATAAAACAGAGAACTGGCATAACACTATATAAATTGCTGAAATTGTATTTACTATTTTAAATTTAGTACTCCACTGGCATACAAGGGGCAGTTACTTAGTATTTTAACTACAATAAATTTAATAATAATTTACACAATTACCAATCGTCATATTGCAAAACCAAAAAGAAAAATCCATTTGAAGTTCCCGAGTCTACTTAGAGACACCTAGAACCTCTGATGAAAGGTCTTTGGCATGATCTGGCAAGATGTAAAGGATAAAGGCATTTATGATGAATATAGAGTTTGATAAAGAGGCAGAAATTTGAACCCTGAGTTTATTGCCTTCTGCTGCTCAAGTCAGGCTCACAAATACACAGGTGAGGATGGACATGGAAGTTCTATACCAAGGCAGTGTTGTCATGTCTGATTGATAAAGTGGAATCCCCTATCCCCTAACTAGTGAATGGAGGCATGCCAACTTATTTAAAGCCCAGCTTTGTTTGGTTGGGTTTTTTTTTTTTTTGTAAAGTCAGCATAGCCTTATCTATTTTATCTCTCTTTGATATCTGTGGCAATACTCTTCAAATATGAAGTGATGGTGGTATCAAGGCAAAGCTTAAAATGCCTTTTGCCAAAGGACTGATGTTGGACAGAGCCCTGATTGCATAAAAATATGAGAAGAAAAAATCACAAGAATATTTTCCCCATAAGTTGTTTTCTGCAGAGTTACAAACAGGTAAAAAAAAACCAAACAAACAAACAAAAAAAAAAAACCACAGTTTTTTACATTTCAAAATATTACTCAAGTTTTTATATGTGCATTCCAAAATTTCCAATAAGAAGTCTGGTTGTTGTAAAAAAATACTGCTTTCAATTTGTAGATACAAAATGCATATGGATCAAGCAATATATTTAGATTTCGAGAATAAAGTTGAAATTGGAGCACGTCAATAACTAGGCATAGACACCATTCAATAATTTGAGAGGGTATATTTATAATTATTTTGTTAATAGTAACTATTTCAAAGTAGTCAGACATCCAATTTTTGTGAGAGCAAGTTTTCTTAGAGCAAAGCAAAGTGCATAGCTTCATATTATCTAGCTTTGACTTCATGTGTTTCATTTCAAAGAAGAAATTCAAACACAGTATAAATGACATTTTAAAGCAAGTTTTTAAAAAAATTATAGAAATAACAATGTTGGGATCAATTTGATGGGCAAATTACTCTCTTCCACTAAATTCAGCTTTTATTTTCAGCACATTTTTGTAAAATAATTATTATCCCTACTTTTTGTAGAAAAGAATCAGCAAATTATCCAGGAAGTTGTCTCAGAGTTTGTGGTGAAGCCAGCAACTGTATTCACCATTCTGTGAGGTTCAATCTTATGCCCAGACCCCTGACCACCAATCTTTACCCCACCCCAACAGTTTTGAACATCTTTCTCTAATCTTTTTTAAAACCAGATGCCACCATGTGAAATTTTACTTGACTATTTGATAAAAGCTTAACTATTCAAAATCTCAAGAATTTGATTTCTTTTACATGTCTAATAATTATAGTTCAAAGCCATAATAAACAAAAAGCATTTTATGGAAGGTCTTCATCCAGTATTAGCCTTTCTTCATACAAGTATCCTGCACTGAAATTACACAACAATATATTTTAGATAGTCTTGACAAGTGTCCAATAAAACCTACATGTTATTGTTGGTTAATATAACTTAATATACCCATACTGTTGTTTTTGTATATTGCAGAGACTTTTTTGTAAACTGAGTCTTTAGTAAAGCCAACTTTTTTGTTTTGCTGATTTTCTTAGTCTTGTTTTACCCAGTTCTGCAACTACTTAGAATTGAAGATTTGATAAAGGCTCATGTTCTCCACTCAAACTCTGTAGCTTATATAAAATGACACGGGGGCTGGGGATTTAGCTCAGCGGCAAAAGCGCCTGCCTGGCAAGCGCAAGGTCATGAGTTCGGTTCCCGGTACCGGAGAAAAAAAACCAAAAAAAAAAAAAAAAAAAAAATGACACGATTACGTTACCAACTCAAACTGCTACGCAATAATTTTGCTAGATAAAATGGTGCCTTCACATTATATCTACCTATTAATCCCCTGTATTCTAAAATGATTAAGATTTCCAAATGTAGAGTTTGAAATCTTCTTCTTAATGTAAAATCAACCTATTCATTGGAAATAAATTTACCTTAGCACTAAAAAAAGACAGGTATCAAAAGTTTCGGGACTCACATTTTAAAGATTCTATGTATATGCATTGATCTTATAGTTGGCCACTGTACAACTACTTATTTTTAGTTATACTTCATGCACAAAATTATTATAGTTCTAGTCTTTGGAAATTGCATTTAGAGCAGTCCTTCTGTTCATAAAAGGGCATGACACAATTCTATATAGTCTTGGTTAACTAGATCAAACTTTAAGGTACTCAGCTTGATCATACATATTAATGATCAAATTTGACTTCAGATATATCTGGCAGTTTCCATAGTCAACTCAGCCATTTAAGAGGGTTGGCTTTCCATTACTGAGAAAGGGGAAAGAACACCTGCAAACTGGAGATCTTCCTCGGTCCTTTCACACCTGAACACTGAAGATTCCTCCTGGAATTCTTTAAACTCTGTGACCTCTCCTGACTCCCATGCACTTTAATCAAGTAGCATTTATAAGGTTAACCCAATGTAGAACCCTGTCTCCCAGTCACCGTTCATGATTGTACTGACTTGTGAATTCATTCTTGGAAGTAACAACCTTGTAGGCCACATGAGAATGATGAAACAGCACATCCATCTTTTACTATAAGCTCTGATATTCCTCTCAGTACTAGCAAGGAGACAATGGAGATATGCCATATAAATGATCCAATTCACCCGATAGAAGCCTTTCTAGTTATCGAAGCATACCATTCAAAAACCAGGATACACCAGAAATAAATCTCTCTGTTTCACAAAACCAATAGCTGTTATTAGGTAAAACATTAGGTTTTAGGACTTAGTTCAAATAATTCTTGCTGCAGTGTCAAGA